TGGGCCGTGAAGAGTTCAGGTGAAGAGGACTCCATACTGTGAAGGCCAAACTAGAACCTCACAGTAGCCTCAGACTTAAAGTTTAAGCTTTTAATTCTTACTTTAAATTTCAGTGATATTTGGGATTGATAAAATATTTATCATTTTATTTCAATGATAGCACAGTTAATATGTCCCAATTCGCTCTGTAAGTCTGAGGACAACAATCCTCACTTACCACATAATAAGAGACCCACAGAGCTGGACGACCAGTCCTGGGACAGGCCAGATACTGGAATATACTGACCCAGGGCCAGACAGCAGCACACGACCCCCGAGGTGCTGGCAAGTCAGTCACTACAGACAAGTGGGGTGACCATGACAAAAAGGGCTTAAAGAGGCCCCGCTGGTTGGGTCACCACCCCGCCTCTAAAGACAGATGTCTCTGCAGCCAGTAACTTACAGGTTAGGGAAGCCTGGGCCTGGTTTTTTGTTACTGTCTATTTAATTCTTTCAAGATTCATAAAGGCAGCATCTCTGCAAAGAGAAGCTGCAGGAAGCCTCGGGGGCTCATCGGGCATGGCAGAGGCATGGGGCGGATGAACCCTCTCCCACGGACCGGTTGGGGACATGGGGAGAAGAGCAGCTCAGTGCCTGTGGGGTGGTGCGACACAAGGCCAGTGCCCTTACACTACAGGATGGTGGGGGAAGAGGAGGCAAAAGAAGACCTGCTGCGGAACACAGGCTGTTCATCAGGACAGACTAAACTCACAGCTAAGCCTGGGAGTTTCTACCCCAGGTTTCCCAAAAATAACCCTCTCCCTCTAAAGCAGCGGACCTCCACAGGGGGTGACTTTGCCCACAGGGGACATTTGGCAATGTCTGAGACATTTTTGGTTTCCTCACTGGGACGGGGTGCTACCAGCATCTAGTGGGCAGAGGCCAGGGACATTGGTGACATCCTCCAGTGCACAGGAGCCTCTCTAACAGGGGAGCATCGAAATGCCGAGAAATCTTGTTCTACAGGGAGTACTTTAGTCATGATTCTGAGTCTAGCATGAGCCAAGGCCCCTGGAATTGACGATGAGATCATAGTGAATGCACCCTATCTACCACTGGCCCCAAAGTGTGGGTCAGGCCACTGCTTGTTGAGCAGACATCCCCAATTCTCTCAGCGTGTTCCATAAATGTCCAATCAGATGCTGGCACCTCAAATTCCAGCTAATACAACTAGAACCTTAGACCCTTTTCATCTTCTTTCTCTTCTGAAAAAGCCACTGTTTTCTTCTCAGAGCCAGGGCGACCCCAACTGCCACTGCCAGGAGGGCCACAGCAGCAGCCCCTCCGAAGAGCGTTATAGACTTGCCCTCAGGCACAGAGAAGGCCTTCACCTCCTGGGCAGGAGGGCACTCCCTGCTGAGTCTCTCCTTCCTCACAGGGGCCTCCTTTTCCCTCAGCAGTGAAGGGGGCACCCCCTCATCCACTTCATGAGGCTCCGTGATGGCTGCTCTCACCTCTTCTTCACTGAGTTCTACGAACAGAGACGGAACAAGGCTGACTTCCTCAACTGTGATCACTTCCGGGTCAGGTTCCCTTGTCTGCAGCAAGGAAGTGGCAGTGATGTGTGGAAGCAAGGGAGCAGGGGCTCCAGGCAAAGCCTCTTGTGGCTCCTTGGTAGGCAAGCCAGAAGCAGCCCTGGCCACCTCCTCTGCACCCTCAGGGATCTCTTCTTTCTCCACATGCACAATATCAGAGTTGGAAGAGTTGTTCTCACTCTTCTTTCCAGCTCCGTTGCTATCCAAGCTTTTGACTTCTTCAGGATCCATTGCAATCTGCTGCCAGGACTCAGGGCCAAGGGACACTGGGAGGCTTTCTGTATACCAGCTCTGGCTTGCTGACATGGAGACAGGCAGGCTTTCCAACTGCCAAGAGGTTGTT